TGGCTCAAGTGGTAGAGCGCTAGCCTTGAGCTGAAGAGCTGAGGGACAGCGCCCAAGCCCAGAGTTCAGGCCCCACAACTGGACCCAAAAAAAAAACCAAACAATCAAATATACAGTTTATTGGTTTTGGTGGGTCTTTTTTTTTTGTATTTTCATAAAATTGCGTAATCAACACTCTAAATTAGGAATGATTTTTATCACCCAAAAAGAAGTACCATCCCCATTAGCAAGATTCCAGAAGCCACTAGTTTACCTCTGTCATGGAGTTACCTATTCTGGAAATTTCGTAAATAGAATCAGAAAATGTGTAATGTTGTGTTAGTGCTTCTTTCAATGGATATGATGTCTTTAACCATGTATCATGATGATATTAAGCATGTATCATGGTATCTGGTCTCAAGTTACTGCATGTATCAGTAGGTATTCCTTTTTTATTTATTTATTTTTTTGTTGGTCTTGGGGCTGAACTCTGGGCCTGGGCATTGTCCCTCAGCTCTTCAGCTCAAGGCAACTAAGCCCTCTACCACTTGAGCCACAGCGCCACTTAGGGGTTTTCTGGTTGTTTACTAGAGATAAGAGTCTCACAGACTTTCCTGCCTGGGCTGGCTTTGAACCACAGTCCTCAAATCTCAGCCTCTTGAGTAGCTAGGATTACAGTGGTGAGCCTCTGGCACCCCACCCAGTGGAACCCAGTGAGCCTTGGGCAGGCTCATTGTTTCTAGATCCTTAATAGATCTTTTCCATGCTCCTCTGGATATCTCATTCTCTAGCTTTCTAATCTTTTTAGTTACTTTTTGCCCAAATATCTTCACCCCTTACATAGTAGCCAAGTTAACTGCCTTTCAATATTTTCAAATACAGCCTCATGGAGAAATGCTTTTCCAACATTGGTTAAAACCAACCAAATTCAGACAGTTTGCCCATGGGTATACCAGGAACTAACACAAAGATCAAGTTGACTACTGCTTTGAAAGAGGTGTTGTGTGGTTACTGGTTCTCTCCACAAATGGTTGCTACATGATGCTGGGGACTAGAATGTGGGGCTAGAGCTGAAGATGTTGTTTGGTTTGGTTTTTGTGCTAGACCTGGAGCTTGAACTCAGAAGCTGGGTGCTGTCCCTGAGCTTTTGTGCTCAAGGCTAGTACTCTACTGCTTGAGCCACAGCTCCACTACCACCTCTTTTTGGCAGTTAGAGACAAGTCCTCAGGGACTTTCCTGCCCTGGCTGGCTTCAAACTGCAATCCTCAGATCTCAGCCTCCTGAGTAGCTAGGATTATAGGCATAGTCTCTAGTGCCAGTCTTAGAGCTGAGTTTTTTAACATAGTACTTTGCTATGCTAAGTTTTTTGTCTATTTAATTGTTGTTTCAGTAAGAAGTTACTCATTTACCAAAACATCAATTTTTCTTATCTCTAGTTAAAGAAGAGTGTAAGAGTCCTAAAGCTGAATGTCGGTCACAAAAAATGTCCAGTAAACAGGTAAGCTTTCTTAAAAGCAAATTTTTTTTTTTTGGGGGGGGGTCCGGTTATGGGGCCTGAACTCTGGGCCTGGGCGCTGTCCCTCAGCTCTTCAGCTCAAGGCTAGCACTCTACCACTTGAGTCACAGCACCATTTCCGGTTTTTTTGGTTTTGCTTATGTGGTGCTGAGGAATCGAACCCAGGGCCTCGGGCATGCAAGGCAAGAGCTCTACCACTGAGCCACCTTCCCAGCCCCCAAATTTTATTTTTTTTTATTTTTTTTGGGCCCAGTAGTGGGGCCTGAACTCTGGGCCTGGGCGCTGTCCCTCAGCTCTTCAGCTCAAGGCGAGCGCTCTACCACTTGAGCTATAGCGCCACTTCCAGTTTTCTGGTGGTTTATTGGAGATAGGAGTCTCACCGTCTCTCCTGCCCGGTCTGGCTTTGAACCGTGATCCTCAGAAAAGCAAATTTTAGTAGCTACTTTTTTGTTGTTGTTGTTGTTGGTTGTGGGACCTGAACTCTGGGCCTGGGCGCTGTCCCTGAGCTCTTCAGCTCAAGGCTAGCACTTGAGCCATAGTGCCAGTTCTGACTTTTTCTGCTCATGTGGTACTAAGGAATTGAACCCAGGGCCTGATGCATGCAAGCCAAGTACTCTACCACTGAGCCACCTTTCCAGCCCCAGTAGCTACTTTTTTCATGCAGTTGGTGCACTCAGTGAGATCAGACTGAATTTTGCCAATTTTTCAACAGTTGGCAAGGTATGTGGTAGGAAGGCCAGTGAAGTACAGGCTGAGTCATTCAGAGGGCAAGTTACACAGCTGCAACACAGGATTTGAAACCAGAGGCATCTGAAATCTCGATTTGGCCATTTAATAGGTAGATAACCCTGAGCAATTCTTTACCTCTCACAGCCTGTTTCTTCATCTTTGAAATGGAGACAAAAGTAGAGCCCTGAGTTCAAACCCCAGTTTTGCCAAAAAATAAGCCAAACGAAAAAACCATAAAAGATTATTTTTAGTTTCTCTCAATACATATATAGTCTATACATACATATGTAATATTCAGGCATATGAATTTATATGTATATGTTAGTATCTTGAGGTATAAATTCTGTGGAACTAGAATCAATTTCCTTTCTGTACACCAACAGTGTACAAGCAGAAAAGGAAGTCAGGAAAACAACCCCCTTTGCCATAACCCCTGAAAGATTAAAATATCTAGGAATAACCTAACTAAAGATGAAAGGACTTATATAGTGAAAACTAAAAATCTAAAGAAAGAAATCAAAGAGGACACCAGGAAATGGAAAGACGTTCCATGTTCAGGTTAGGTAGAATCAATATTGTGAAAATGGCCATACTGCCAAAAGTGGTATGCAAATTCAACGTAATTCCCATCAAAATTGCAATGATGTTCTTTACTAAAATAGAGAAAATGGAGCTGGGAAGGTAGCTCAGTGGCAGAGTGCTTGCCAACTTGCATTCATGAGGCCCTGGGTTCAATTCCTCAGCACCACATAAGCAAAAAGAAAAAAAAGCCGGAAGTGGCGCTGTGGCTCAAGTGGTAGAGCTCTAGCCTTGAACTGAAGAGCTGAGGGACAGCGCCCAGGCCCAGACTGGACCCAAAAATAAATAAATAAAATAGAGAAAACAATCCAGAAGTTTATATGGAACAAGACCTAGAATAGCCAAAGTAATTCTAGGCAAAAGAAGCAATGCAGGAGGTTTTACAATACCAGATTTCAAGCTCTACTATAGAGTCATAATAACAAAGATAGCTTGGCATCAGCACAAAAATAGACCCAAGACTAATAGAAGATCCAGAAATAAAACCACATACTTAGAGTCATCTGATAATCGACAAAGGAGCCAGAGACATACAGTAGAAAAAAAAACATAGCCTCTTCAGCTACTGGTGCTGGGAAAACTCGGCAGCCATATGCAGAAAACTAAAAGTGGATTCATCCAGCCTGTCACCATGCCCAAAATCAACTCAAAATGGATTAAAGACCTTACCATCACACCTGAAACTCTGAAACTACTGCAGGACAGAGTGGGAAAGACATTAGAACTTATAAGCACAGGAAGAAACTTCCTGAACAGAGTCCCAGGGGCACAACAGATTGGAGAGAGACTCGACAAATGGGTCTACCTTAAAATTAAAAGTTTCTATACAGCTAAAGACATAGCTACGAGGGCTGGGAAGGTGGCTCAGTGGTAGAGCGCTTGCCTTGCATGCATGAGTCCCTGGGTTCAATTCCTCAGCACCACATAAGCAAAAAAAAAAAAAGCCGGAAGTGGCACTGTGGCTCTTGAACTGAAGAGCTGAGGGACAGCGCCCAGGCCCAGAGTTCAGGCCCCATGACCGGACCTAAAAAGAAGAGAGAGAGAAACTAGAAAGACACCCAACTAATGGGACAAAGTATTTACCAGCAATATATCGGACAAGGGCCTAATACCCATTATATACAAGGAACTCAAGAAACTAACCCCTCCCAAATCTAACAAAAGAATCACTAAATGGGCAAGGGAGCTAAAGAGAGACTTCTCAGAAGAAGAGGTAAAAATGGCAAAGAAACACATGAGGAAATGTTCATCATCCCTGGCCATAAAGGAAATGCAAATAAAAACAACCCTGACATTCCACCTTACCCCTTGAGCGTTTTCACTCATCACTCTACCACTTGAGCCATACTTCTTCTAGTCTGGTATTTTTTTATTAATTGGAAATAAAAATCTCTCAGACTTTTCCTTTAGGTCTCAGACTACTGAGTAGCTAGGATTACAGGTATGAGGCCCAGGCATCACTCTCTCTCCCTTCTTTTAAAGCACTAATACCATTATGAGGGCTCCATTCTACTGATTATCTAAATCTAATTACCTTTTAAAGGTTTTGTCTTCTAATTCCATCCCACTGCAGCTAGAGTTCTAACATAGGAATCTCAGGGGGTACACAGACATCCAGTCCATGTGACAGTGGTTTAGTGCCTATGTTCATAACTGAAAGAAATGCTCACTCATTTACAATTTAATAGGGATTTAATCGCATTTATTTTTGAAGTCTCCCTTTTTCTTACAATGTAGAAGAGAAACAGTGCATAAGAAAATTGTGCAGCAGTTAATGTAAAGTATTGTTAAGTAGTAACTATAAATTTATTTGCATGGAAAGTTCATTCTTACTTTTTTATAGACTTTTGGAGGTCCTGCTAAATGTAATAATATCAAGCTATTGAAGAGAAATGAAAGTCCAGGAGTCACAGAAACCCAAAAGGTTGGTGGCTGATAACTGAAATACTATTGATAAGGTAAAAGATCTTCATTCAGTTTCTCTTCCCAAGCTTTAATACCTGAGGAGGTAATTGGGTGATGATTTTTTAGCATAAAACTCTTAGCTTTTTTTTGTATCCTGTTTTCCTCTTCATATGTGAATATTTGTTATTTTAGCCGAGCTCTGGAATGGAGACCTTTTTAGCATCTTTGAGTATCTCTAAAGAAAATGATGTGCAGTCATCTCATCATGGAGAGCCTCCGAACGAAGAGCACTTATCACCACAGTCCTTCGCTCTGGTGTGTATGCTATAGGTGCTGTTGGTCATACATGCACACCCTGTGCGGCTGTTCAGAGATGCTGGCGGGTACCGCCGGCCACCATTTTGTGAGGAAGGCCAGACTACAGGAAATTTAGCCATCTTTTCTCTTGTTACACCATAACCCCCTGCTTTTCAAGTATTGTTACTAGGTGACCAGGCCAAAAGTTAAACACAAAGGCATTCTTTCTATATCTGGAAATGTGGATCTTTTTTTTAAAAAAAATCTGGGGGGGCTCAGAATGTGGCTTAGTGGCAAAGTGCTTGCCTCGCATTCATGAAGCCCTGGGATGGATCCTCAGTACCACATAAGCAAAAAAGGCTGGAAGAGGCGCTGTGACTCAAGTGGTAGAGCACTAGCCTTGTGCAAAAGAAGCTCAGGGACAATGTGGAGGCCCTGAGTTCAAGCCCCAGGACTGGCAAAAAAAAAAAATCTGATCTCAGTATTTAATTTGGTCTTGATTTGCCTTTCTCTATATGAATGTTGTTAGATCTGAATTTTAACAGTGGAGCTCTTTCAAATAAAAAAGCACAGTGGTAGAATGTTTGCCTACCACATGCATGGTCCTAGGTTCCATCTCAACACCTTAAAAAAAAAAAAAAAAAGAAGATCAGAGCTGGGAGGGTAACTCAGTGGTAGAGTGCTTGCCTCGCATGCATGAGACCCTGGGTTCGATTCCTCAGCACCACATAAGCAGAAAAAGCCAGAAGTGGCACTGTGGCTCAAGTGGTAGAGCGCTAGCCTTGCGCTGAAGAGCTCAGGGACAGTGTCCAAGCCCAGAGTTCAGGCCCCACGAACAACCCCCCGCAAAAAAAAAAAAAATCAGTAAGCTGTGTAAATCGTAAGGTAACTTTTCTTTCCCAAACCTTCCATCTCCATGTGGACCATTTCCAAAACAGAAGGGAACACGGATGCTCAAAGAAATTTTGAAAATTGATGGCTCAGACAGTGTGGACCGTAAAAATGAGCCAAAACAGTTTGGTCATGAAGTTGCTATTTCCTCTAATAGAAAAGATGAATATGGACTATCTTCTCAGGCTAAACAAAATAAGAAATTGGGTAAGTACTATTATTAATAATACCATTTCAAAAATCTAGGTTCTTCTTGTCCTTTTTATCGTGCTTCTCAAACTCATAGTTTTAGCTGGTCCTAGTGGCTCACATTGGAACTACTCAAGAGACCGAGATGGGGATGGATGATAATGGTTGAAGGCAATCTAGACATAAAGTTAGTGAGACCTCCATCTCAACCAGAGCTAGGCATGGAAGCAGAATGCCTGTCACCCCAGCTATGCAGCAGAGCATGCATTGGAGGATTGCAGGCCAGGCCAGTCAGGCAAAAAATACCTTAAAATAACTAAGAAAAAAAGACTGTAGGTCTGGCTCAAGTGAATGAGTGCCACTTTTTCAAAGAAAAAGCTAAAGAGGAATGTCCTGGCCTAGAGCTTAAGCCCCAGTACTGGCACCAAAATAAAAAAAATCCAATTAGAAACCAGTTACTTCTCATAGTGAAAGACATGCTCATAATATAGAACAAAATAATTATTTAAACTGATAGTGGAATAAACATAATCCTGTAAGTTGTACTTAATTTCAGTATAGCAAAGAGAATCTAAAAAACATAGATGCTGACTTAGAATTTAGCCCATGTTGCAGAACTGAGTCACTTTGAGTAGGCTACTTAACAGAACTTTGGATTAATTCTTCACTGAAGTATGCTTTGGTTCTACTAGTGATTTTGTCGATCATAAAGTGTGAATATTCAGAACTTTCTAATCTATAGAAACAACACTAAAAGCTTAATTTTAGCAAACTTTTTTTTTTTTTTTTGATGGTTCTGGGGTTTTAACTAAGGGCTTTGCATCCTGTGGCTTGCTTACTCAGCAGGCACTCTATATGAGTCACACATCATCCCTGCTTTTTGCTGGAGGATGGCTCTGAACAGAACACCTCAGAATCTCAGCCTCCTGAGTAGCAAGCGCCTGGACTTATTTCAAATCTTTAATATACTAATTTGTTAATCAACCATAATTTTCTAAAGCCACATTTGAAAGTTTAATAAATCATTTAATACTAAGTACTGCTATTTGCTTTAGAAGCCTAATTTTGCAAGCTTTTTAGCAACTTCCTGCTAGCTGTATTATGAAGCCCTACAATGATTAACTAATTTGAGGTATCATTTCATTAACACATGTATATATCCATATCCTTTTCTTTTTTCTGGTAGCATCCTACACAAACAAGCCTCACAGCACTAGTGAGTACCAAAGTGTTCCATCTGTGGACAGTGTATGTTGGTCTGGCCAGATCCCTCCTGTGTCCACACCAGTAACTGAACTTTCTCGAATTTGTTCCCTTGTGGGAATGCCACAACCGGATTTCTCCTTTCTGAGAACACCTCAGGTAAAGTATCCTAACTGTTCCATTTATATAAGCTCTTACCGGGCGCCTGGCACCAGTGGCTCACACCTGTAATCCTAGCTACTCAGGAGGCTGAGATCTGAGGGTGGTTCACGCCTGTAATCCTAGCTACTCAGGAGGCTGAGATCTGAGGGTGGCTCATGCCTGTAATCCTAGCTACTCAGGAGGCTGAGATCTGAGGATCAAGGTTTATAGCCAGCCAGGACAGAAAAGACTGAGACTCCTATCTCCAATAAACCACTAGAAAACCAGAAGTGGCGCTGTGGCTCAAGTGGTAGAGTGCTCGCCTTGAGCTGAAGAGCTGAGGGACAGCATCCAAGCCCAGAGTTCAAGCCCCATGACCGACAAAAAAAAAAAAAAAAGTTATTTAACTGAGCTTAAATTAGCTGAATGTCTTTACCTAGAAAACATACAATAAGACTTTTTTTGTTGTTTTTGGTTCATCATGGGGGCTGAACTCTGGGCCTGGGCACTGTCCCTCAGCTCTTCAGCCCAAGGCTAGCGCCCTACCACGTGAGCCACAGCGCCACTTCTGAATTTTCTCTGCTTATGTGGTACTACCCAGGGCCTCATGCATGAAAAGTTGGGCTGGGAAGGTGGCTCAGTGGTAGAGCGCTTGCCTTGAGCTGAAGAGCTGAGGGACAGCGCCCAGGCCCAGAGTTCAGGCCCCACAACCGGACCCAAAAAAAAAAATTTAATGAAAAGCATAGATTTATGCTTCTCACCCTGGCTATTTCATTTATATGTAACTAGAGCTCAAAGAGGCTGTCAGAAAAGAAGTTTGAGAGAGCTTACTAAAAACTTAAGTTTTCTAGGGCTGCAGGTATTCTCAATAGTAGAATAAATATTTTAACCTAATATACATAATACTCTGGAGTTCAGTGCCAAGGTTTCAAGAAAATAAGCTGGACGCTGGTGGCTCAAACTTGACATCCTTGCTGCTCAGGAAGCTGAGATGCGAGGGTCATAGTTCCAGTCCAGCCCAGTCAGGAAGGTCCATGAGACACTCTTCTCCAATTAACTACTAAAAAGCTAGAAAAGGTGCTATGGCACAAAGTGGTAGCACATTAGCCTTGAGCACAAAAGCTCAGAGACAAGTCCCCCATCTCTGAGTTCAACCCCCAGGACTGGCACCAAAATAAATTAAAAGTAAATAAATGTATTCTTTTAATTGAGAAAAACGATATCGTACTGTTTTGAAGTCTTTTTCTTCTAGGGCTTGGGGGTATGACTCAAGTGCTAGAGGGTCTGCCTAGGAAATGCAGGGTTCTAGGTTCAAACTCAAGGAAAAAAAAACAAAAACGAAATCAAATACAGAGTTGAGAAAGGGAAGAGCATTTTAAATAGCCAGTAAATCATTTCTGTAAAGGGTAGGATAGAAAACATTTCAAGACTGTAAGCCACATCACAACTTCACAACTCTATAATTACAGGTAGGTAAGGATGAAGGAGAAAGAGAAAGAGATGATTTTTTTTTTTTAACCTCAGAAACCCAAATAGTCTTTTGTTTGGATTCAGATGTAATTATCCCATTGGTGTATACCATGCTTTGGGAGAGGAAGTTGAGTTGCTAAACAGATAACTTAATAGATTATCTATGTTCTCTGTTCTCAGACAATGACAGTTTGCCAAGTAAAATTATCTAACGGCTTACTGGTCCTCGGGCCACAGTGCCACTCTGAAAATGAAGCCAAGGAGAAAGCTGCACTCTTTGCCTTACAACAGCTGGTATGACCTCTCCATGACTTCTCTATTCACATTTTGACTAGTCTTTAAGGGAACTTTTTATTGTATTATCTTATAACTATTAAATACTTCCATAGGGCTCCCTAGGAGTGAATTTTCCTTTTCCTCCACCAATATTTCCAAATTATCCTCCTGCTGTTCCACCAGGAACCATTCCTCCAGTTTTTCCCCAACCTACTGGTAAGATATTTTGCTTTTACGCCTTTTTGTCATGTGTTATTTTTGTTGAGTTCTTTTAAGATGCAGTTTTTCAAAAATCAAAATTACATATTCAAACAACTAGTAATAGAAGAAGAAACGGTGGTGAGCCTGGAGCGAGGGGCCAGCAGAGCCACGCAGCCGCACCCTTCACCCTCTGCAGCCTCTGTGTGGCCACGGAGATCACACTGCTGAGTAGACCTGGGGGGGGGGGGGGCTACAGCTCAGTATGAGCTACAGGTCTTGAGTTCAAGCCCCCTGTATCCACACACAAAAAAGCGTGATCAGCTGTCCCAAAAGAAGACAAGGTAGCAGCCAAAGGGCAACCTGAAGGGCTCAGCTTTCGGGTAGTAGAGTGCCTGCTAGCACGTGTGAGGCCCTGAGTTCAAACCCCAGTACCATCAAAAACAAAATAATTATTAATAACTGAAAAAAATGTCTTAAACTTGCAAATACTAGAATAGACAAAAACAAAGATTGTACATGTCGTGTGAGCATGATCAGATCTCAGGACTTGAGCTTCTTTGGTTCTTTTGTAGGCTGGGATCACTATGGAAGCAACTTAGCATTTGGGGCAGGTGAGATCCCTAAGATTTCTCTCTATGTGCCCAGGCTTTTCCCTCCCAAGGAATAGTTTTAAGACCCTTTCATTTCTGTTCAATGTAATTGCAAATATTTCAGTCTCCTATCAGTATTTGATCATCTTGCTCTGTTCAGGCAAGGATAATGATAAATGCATTTCTGTGGTAGTTCAGAGGCCCAAGAAGGGATGCTAAGCCTGAGTGATTACAAGAGCAGACTTTTTGCTAAAGTGGGAAAAGCCAAGAAAGGCTAGCAGGACGAGGTCTGATTTCTGGGCTTTGATTTTAGTAAGAAAGAAATACTGTGTGGCTCTTAGCAGGTAACATGATGCCCTCATCCTCTCATCTTCTTGGCTCAGTGCCATGGAGACCGCCAGTGCCAGTTCCTGGGAGGCCCTTCCACCCCACATCACACTCCGGGACGGTGCCCAGGGCTGGAGGAGTACCAGGCGGCATACACAACCAGTTCATACCTCTGCAGGTGAGATTTGGAGAGGAACTTGAGCAAAACTCTTCATTGTAAACTTTTTAAAATGAGTCTCAGTTTTCTCTTTCAATGGCAGTTAAAAATGTGGAATGTCATGGTGACATATCTGGTCTGGCCTCTGCTGTTTGTGCACTCATATTAGTAATTATAGCCAGTAATAATATACTATACGAACAGAAAGTATCTGAAAGTCAAAATTATAAAACATTTTACTGCCGGGCACAGGTGGCACACGCCTGTCATCCTAGCTACTCAGGAGGCTGAGATCTGAGGATTGTGGTTCAAAGCCAGGGAAGTCTGTGAGACTCTATCTCCACTGAACCACTCAGAAAACTGGAAGTGGTGCTGTGGCTCAAGTAGTAGAGCGCTCGCCTTGAGCTGAAGAGCTGAGGGACAGCGCCCAAGCCCAGAATTCAAGCCCTACGACTGACAAACAATAAGAAAGAAAAAAGAAAGGAAGGAAGGAAGGAGGGAGGGAGAAAAGGAAGGAAGGAAGGAAGAGAAAAAGCAGGCAAGCAAGCAAGCAAGCATTTTACTAGGGCTGGAAAGGTGGCTCAGTGGCAGAGTGTTTACCTTGCATGCATGAGGCCCTGGGTTCGATTCCTAAGCACCACATAAGCAGAAAAGGCTGGAAGTGGCGCTGTGGTTCAAGTGGTAGAGCGCTAGCCTTGAGCTGAAGAGCTGAGGGGCAGCGCCCAGGCCCCACAACCACAACAACAACAAAAAAAAACCATTTTACTATTTCATTTGTAAAGAATCTTAAATATTGTGTTGCCAGGTTTCTGTGAATGTTGAAGTCTTCATTGTAGAGTGGAAGTGGAAGTTTCATATCAGCTATGGCCAGCAGATAGTCCAGCGTGGTTTGTGGCATTTTTCTCATTAGCTTTCTTTAACCTAGCTAGCTAATTAACAATGCTTTTATTTCTTGAAGGTCACTAAAAAAAGAGTAGCAAACAAAAAGAACCTTGAGAATAAGGAGGCCCAGAGCTCTTCTCAAGCTGCCTCCCTTCCACCTAGCAAGCCAGGCTCCTCTGAGGTCACCAAAGCAACTCTGCAGGAAAGGTCGCCCGCCTCGCTGAAGCCCTCCGAGGCTGCACAGCCTGTGTCTTCTCAAGTGGAAACTGCCGCCCAAGGCCCCAGCATGGCTCACCAAAAGTCAAGCTCTTCTGCACGAAGGAAGTCACGGAAACTGGCTGTCAATTTTGGCATTTCTAAACCTTCTGAATAAATTTGGTACCTTGGAATCAAGTTAATTCCTTTCCATCCACCTTTTGATAAATCCATATCTGTTTCATAAATGTACTCTTTTAAAATGATATGTTTAAATGGAATAGTTTTTATTTTTCAGTTGCCAGGCACTTTTCATGCTATTTTAAAGACTATAGATCAAATTGTGCACTTTAAGAATGTGCAATTTGTTGTACGTCGTTTATACCTCAATAAAGCTGTAAAAGAGAGAGAGAGAGAGACTAAATTAAACCTTACGTATCAGTGGACTCAATCTGAAAATGTACCATTACCCATTGGCCACCTCAGCAGCATCATTCTTGAACTATGACTCAGACATCCTATTAGCAATAATAAAAAACTGTTTTTACATTGTCGTTGAGGGAAAATGAGATGGAGCATGAAAACTAGGCCTCAAGTCTACTGAAAATGCATTTTACTTTTCTTTTTAATAATGGAACAGAATTATGAGGAGAATGAGCCTCGCTCTCGTGCTGTACTCTCACTGGCTGAGCGTCTCTCAGACCTGCTGGGACTGGCTCACACTGGTTTTGGACTGGCTCACTCTGATGGTGGTGCTGCTACCCTTGCTTTACTCTAAATCTCCTACCAAAGCAACTTTAGAGTACCAGTCAGAGTAGTCATCTAGCTGCTTAGAACTAGAAAGAGCAATCTAGACTTGAGTCAGTACCATTTTTTGGATTATTCAAAAACCAGCATTAGTAACCTTTAGTAAAATCAGGTTTCAAAAAATCTACAGGGTACAGTAATGACAAATTAATCTTCAGTTGGATAAAGTATAAAATGTTCATCATGCCAATTAAAATAAACTTTGTTAATCTTTTGTATGGCTTTTTATCTGCTTACTTAGCCATAAATGAGAGCTCCTCCTTGGTATCAATGTTCTGCTTTGAATCCCAGGCTGTGCTATAGTCCAGCCATAGTCATGACTTAGTAATATACCCGTCTGTCTTGATCTAGTCTGTATTTTATCTTCAGGCTAGACGAGTCAGGAATGCTGTTTAATCTTTGCATGTGGATGTGTTGTTCAAACTATTGAAGTGAGTTACAATTTAAAATTTTTCTTATGGTACCAGGGCTTAAGTTTGTATGTGTGTGTGTGTGTGTGTGTGCGTGTGCGCGTGTGTATGCTTTTGTGATATGCTTATATTTTTCAGGAAGAAAATTACCGTGCTTTTTTAAAGTAGGAGCTGCAGTCTGTATGTAGAGCTACTTATTACTCTATCTGATTCCATTGAGCTCATTGAACACTGCTATGAGTCTTAAAGTCATGTTTTATAAAATGCTGGTATTGAGCTAAATGAATTTCCTCTCTAACTGTTGATTTCTGAATTTCTCTAAATGTTAGCAGGATATCTGAATAATAGTTGTGCCTTTAGTATCTTTGCTTACTATGATCATGTGAGTGTCTGTGATTACATGTTCTATTAATTGTCTAGGTTTAAACTTTTGTCAGTTTTGGACATTTCCTTAATGAGATACTAAGTAATGAGGCTCAAGTAAAGGTCAGTGTCTCTCTCTCTCTCTCTGTCTCCCCCCCCACACTCTCTGTTGTCTCACTTAAGTCTCTCGTTGAAAGGAAACATGTATTATAGGATGCAAGGAAGAAGTGGGATTGTGGCAGTCACAGCACCCTGACCCCATCCACCTCACTTAACGTGCACACTCCGGCAGGCAGGACTGCCACTTGGGCTCTAGAGCGCAAGGCAGAGCACGTGCCATCCCCCAACAACTCCAGGAGGAGCTGCACAGTGCCAGGGGACCCTGGAGGCTACTTCAGGATGGGAGCACAGAATTCTGAGTGGAGAGCCACAAAGAATGCTTTTCCTATCATTCTACAGGTCAGAATTGGGGGTGAGGGGGTTAACCGGGAGCACACACCATACTGGCTGAATACTTGGCAGTCAGGTATTATCTATTCAGTGAAGGCTGTGGGAGGCCAGTGCAGCTTTTACCACAGGCTCGTCTTGAGGAGACCAGATTCTCATTATAGCCATGCCTGTGGGTGGGGTCTAGGGTGTCTCTGAACAACACTTAGACTTGGGAACAGTTCTCCCCTTGTATCCAGGGTAAACTGATAACCATCACCCAGTTTCAGATGATGGACCCATTCAGCTATTGAGTCTGAAAACTTTCTGTGTAAATGATGGACCACAGGCCCAGCCAGAGCAATTACTTCATGTTTCCTTGCGAACTTGAGTCTCCTCACATGAAACATCTGTAAATACTCTTGCTCAACAAGTTTTGTTTTTTTGTGTTCCCTTTCTCTTCTAGCAAATTAAGTGAGCGAATCTTGAAGATTGTTTCTCTGGCCATGTTCTGTTTTGCAGTATTCTGCATTACCTGACCATCATCTCAGTTTTTGACCAAATGTGTGAATTAGTTTAAACTAATCATGTACACTAAAGTCTTAAACATCTGAGATCCAATTTCACGACAAACAGTTAACCTCTAGTGAGCTGTAGTTTCAATTTGACATTTTCCTTAACTGGGCGCCGGTGGCTCACACCTGTCATCCTAACAACTCAGGAGGCTGAGCTCTGAGAATCGTGGTTCAAAGCCAGCCCAAGCGGGAACTGCTGTGAAACTCTATCTCCAATTAACCACCAGAAAACCACAAGTGGCACTGTATCTCATATGGTAGAGTGCTTGCCTTGAGCTGAAGAGCTCAGGGACAGCACCCAAGTCCAGAGTTCAAGACCCACAACGGACAAAAAAAAAAAAGGTTTTCCTTTGCCAGATGTAGTAACACACCACAGCAACTGGAGAGCTGACACAGGAATGGGAGTCCTGGCCAGTCTGGACTATCTAGTGAGACCACTTGAAAAGGAAGTTACTGACTGTTCTATGATCATGTTCACTTGTGGTTTTGCACTAATCTAGACTCCTAGGTTTAGGGTGAAGGATGCAGAGAAAGGAGATAGTTGGAAAACATTTGATCTCATTTTCAGATTGTAACACAACCTTGCTAGCTGAAGGAAATGGATAAGCTATGGGGTCTTTTTTATTTACTGGCTTTCTAATCATTTGCAGTATTTGTACTCACAAATTATATATTCATCATATATTCTCATACTGGTTGTGTGATTCGTACCCTATATGCGATCTATAGAAAGTAAGTTCTCCATTCCATTACTTCTATCAGTCAGACATCTTTAAAAGTATCTGGGTATAGTCTCCCTGCTTCAGAATTGCCATATGGGCCTTTCCATCTTGCCCCTAAGTTGTATTTTCCTGCTTAGAAGAAAATCTGTTCGAAATTACTGTGAAAAACGTCATTCTCTATCATTGATAACTCATGATTTATTATCATTTTCTAGAGCAAGTGCTAATGCCCAAATTGGCAATGTTCCTGATATATTTTATAAGCTTGGTCAGCAAAGCAGGCTCTTCTGCAGGCATTTCTTTGCTGGTCAGAATAAAGCTTAAAATCCTAGAAATGAGCATTTCTCAGACTGTGCTAAGGAGCTGTAAGAGAAAGTTGGAGCTATTAGCGTCCCTGACCTCTAGCACCTGGGCAAAGCAGACAGGCCCCACGAGGCGCTGCTGGTGTGCTAACTTAGCTTCAGACATCAGATCCTTACAGAAAGGATTTGAAATAGCTTGAATGGTCAATCCATAGGGTGTGTGTGTGTGCATGTATCAGTGTATCAGTGTGTGGGTACCTGTGGCATGTGCTGCCAACACTAGGCACAACTAAACTTTCTCAAGTACAGTTTATAGAGCAGACCGTGCTTTTACCTAGTGAACTCAGTAAAAAAGAATTTCCCAAATAGTAATAAAAATTTTCTTCCATTGCTAAAGATGATTTTAGCAGTTGGTATCTACTACTAAACTGTAAGTTTATGCAGCTGTTTTAATAAATGGAAGGGAAATTTTATATTGTTTCTCATGGAAGAATAGAATGAAGCTGGTCACTAGTGGCTCACACCTGTAATCTTAGCTACTCAGGAGGCTGAGATCTGAGGATTGCAATTTAAAGCCAGCCTGGGGAGAAAAGTCCGGCTCAATTGATAGAGTGCTCTCCTTGACCACAAAGAGGCTCTGGGATAGCACCCAAGCCCTGAGTTCAAGTCCCACAACTGACCCCCCCCAAAAAAATAATAGAATGAGAATGTGGCCCATAATTTGCTTTAAGCTCTTTTGGGTTTTTTTGTTTTGTTTTATGATTCAGGACCTTCTTTTAAGGCCCAAGCTAGTCTCAAACTTGCAATCCTATTGCTTTTCCCTCTGGAGTACTGGTATTATACACTTGGACCACCACACCCAGCACGTTAAGCTCTCTTATCCTGTGTAATTAAGGGGATTTTATGTTTGTGGGGTCTTGTTTTTTTCTTTCTTTGGCCTGAAATATTTTGTATTTCCTTTTGCCTCCATCCAGTTGCCTTGTTGAATGTTTCCATTTATTTTAATACTTGAGTAATAGATACGTGCTGCATCATCATGAGGCTTAGTTCTAGTCATTTACACAATTAACTTTAATTTCTTACATATATACATATATACCAATTCATTTCTTGCATAACTGTTTTATAAGTAATGAAATTTTCATTAGATCTTACATAGATGGTATTTTATTAAAAATTTGAAAGGGAAGACTTTTTATGTGCTTATTTTGTAGTTTTTTTAAATACCTTTACATTGTCTGCCAATTAAGTGTTTTAAACTTGTATTGGGATGGACTCCAATGGAATTTTGTGTTGTACATTTGTAAATTTCTAGCATGAAGTTAGCCCACAATGCTGTGCAGAGGGATTTTAAAATCTAAAGAGTCACCGTGAGAGTTTAAATATGTTCAGTGCTCTATGGACTTTAATTAAAGACAAATGATGATTTTATAAGCTGATTGTCCTCTCATCATTGCATTAATATCAAAAGTAAAAATATCATCATTTCCACTTAAACCCCACACATAATCCTTTTGTTGTTGTTTTGTTTTGTGTTAGAGTGGTTGCCAGAGTGGAGTCAGACTCATGATCCTGTGGCCTGGGCCTTCATAATGCTGCAGTTACAGATGTGCACCTATCCTTTTGGGTCTTTATCTTGATGTTGCATTGTTCTCCAAGGACCTTCATGTGATAGTAGGTAGATAACGTGCATTTTGCTCTTTATCTTAGTAAGTTGTCATCGTAACACCGTTGTTAAGTTATATAAGAAGCTTCTGTTCTTCACCTCCTAAAGGAAGAAAACAATGTTAGTCGTGGAAAGCACGGGTTCTTAGCTGGGCGCTGGTGGTTCACACCTGTCAGCTACTCAGGAAGCTGAGATCTGAGGATCCCGGTTCAAAGCCAGCCCACGCAGGAAGGACCCTGTAAGACTTTGATCTCCAATAAACCACCAGGAAAACCAGAAGTGGTGCTGCAGCTCAAGTGGTAGAGGACTTGCCTTGAGCTGAAGAGCTGAGAGACAGTTCCCAGGCCCAGAGTTCAAGCCCCATGACTGACAAAAAAAAAAAACCAGGCGTCAGTGGCTCACACCTGTCATCCTAGCTACTCAGGAGGCCGAGATCTGAGGATGGCAGTTCAAAGCCAGCTGGAAGTGGCACTGTAGCTCAAGTGATAGAGTGCTAGCCTTGAGTTGAAGAGCTGAGGGACAGGGCCCAGGACCAGAGTTCAAGCCCCACAACCAACAACAACAAAAAAAAGCACAGGTTCTAGGTGCTCTACTTGCCTTTGTAGCCGTAAGGACTTAACACCTGTCTTCTTGATCTCGTTGGTGGTGGTGGTGGTGGTGGTGGTTGTGGTGGTCGTGGGGCCTGAACTCTAGGCCTGGGCGCTGTCCCTCAGCTCTTCAGCTGTAGACTAGCACTCTACTACTTGAGCTTCAGCGCCACTTCCAGCTTTTTCTGCTGTTGTGGTGCTGAGGATCGAACTGAGGGCCTCATGCATGCAAAGCAAGCACTCTACCACTGAGCCACCTTCCCAGCCCCTACTTGATCTCTTAACTGTCCCAAATACCTGGTTGTCAGGGGCCACATACCTCTGTGCCATGGGTGACTTTCGGTGACTGCAGAACCATTTGGAGAAAGACCTCTCTGCCTCACTCAGGCCTCTGGAAGACTTCTGTCTTTCTGAAGCGTGATTCCCCTCCCATTTTCTCTTAGGCAGAGGAAAACTTACAGAGCCATATAGCAAGAGACTTTACTATCTATTCGGAATGTTGAGCAATCAGCCAGGCACCAGTGACTCACACTTCAGGAGGGTAAGGAGAGTAAGATCCAGAGAATCATGGTTTGAGGTCAGCCGCAGCAGAGAGTCCTGGAAACTACCATCTCCAAAATAGCCTGCAAAAAATCGGAGGGAGGGGGGGTGCGTGGCTCCAGTGTAAGCATAAGACCCTGCCTTCAAAGCCGCAGTACCGGGGAATCTGCAGAAACTCATTGCAAATATGGACCAAGCCTCTCTGATGCTTTATCTTTACCAAAACCTGTAAAGAGAATAGGAAGAAACTGGAGGGAAGAATATCTCTCTGTCCCCTCTGCTTCCAGCACCGCCCCAAGACCTTGAAACGTTGCTCAAGATGGAGGAGGGGGTCACATTCTGATGCTGTATGTGGTCACCGTAAACGAAGGTCTGCGAAGAAGCCTGTGGTAAGGAAGGACTACAGTGCAGACGCAGGAGCCGTCTGCTTCTCGAGAGCTGGTGTGGGGGCTAAGACGATTGCCATGTTTGAGGGGTGAGTGCCCCACGTTTGCTGCCCACTCGGTGCTCTGGCGCAGATGAGGGGCCTTGGGAGCGACAGGGCGTGTGGTAAGATGTGGACAGTCCTTCTTGAGTGTCTGGCTATGTGGAGGCCTGAGCCTGGAGGCACAGCCTTCCATGTCTGGTGGGTACTTTGCCACCGAGCCGCAGCCGCACCTCAGACTTGCAACTCCTTGCAAGCATCGCAGTTGTTGGCAGCAGCTTGCTTGTCCATTGTCAGCAGAGACCAATGTCTTCTGGCCTCATTTCTGTGCCTTTTGAGGTAGAATTTACACAAACTCAAATGCACAGATCTTAAGATCCTTGAGATACAGACCCAGCATGGCCACACCACAACTGTCACTCGCCCACAGCCCCCTCATCTCTTCCAGTCAATCTACCCCAAGCCCATGCAGACAATGTTCTGGAACTTTCTCACCATAACTCTTTTCCCCAGGTCCAAAGCTTCTTGCCAATAGTCCAGTGCCTAGGCTATAAAGGCTGTTTGGCTTTCCTGTTCGTGGGTATGTGGGTAGTTCCCTTGTCTCCCTTCCTGTGGGAAGGCAGGCAGCTGGGCCTCTATGAGCAAAACCGCTGTGAATGTATGTATGCCCACAGTCTTCTGTCCCTACCATCTTGAGTAAATCTAAGGATAATCTAAGGATTATCCATGGCAGGAGATGCAGGCGTTAATGCGGCCTGAGACTCTGTCGAGTTCTTTTCCAAAGTTGCTTGTTCCCATCGGCCATCCCACCACAAAGTGCCGAGACTTGGCAACCCCACCTCCTGTGTACGTGCATTAATACAGCCAAAGTTCTTGTTTTTCTATTTCACAAAATATAGTTTCTTTTTAGGAAGATAGGCCATGTGTACTTATAGATGTTGATTGAACTACATTTCCTTGCACTCAAGGAAATTAGGATGGTTTAAAGTATATGTTTATGACTCCATTTTCTTCTGTTTTAGTGAAATGCCCAAGGTTGAATGTTTTAAATAAAAATGGTTATTTAGCTGGCAGCTTGGGAAAGATTATTTGGCAAGACAAGGAGCCAAAGACAGTAGAGTTCTCTTAGTACAACTTAATCTCGGAGGCATTTAGAACCCTGCCAAAACTAATTAGAGGAGTAGACATTTCCCAGATTGCCAAGGAGAGATAGAGGAGAACTGAGGTTTCACAATAACCTGAAAACTAGATCAAGACATCGCCTGGGAAACATTTGTACTATAGTGGTCTATGTATTAATCTCCTTTTATTTAATACATCTATGTTCACATCTTATACCTGTAGCAAGTATCAGCGTTTCCTCTGTCTTAATGATTAAATAATACTCCATTACACAAATACTACATTTTGTTTAATCACCCGCTTAGTGGACAGGTGTTTCCACCTTTGGACTACTGTAACTATAGGCATTTGTGCACAAGTTACTATTTAAGCATCTGTTTTCCATTATTTCACGTATATGTCTAGGGATGAACTGGTTGGTGACAAAAACCACACTTATTTTTTTACTATAATGTTATTATTTTTCTGTGTATATGGTACTGAGGAATCGAACCCAGGTCCTCATGCATGTGAGGCAAGCATCTGCCACTGAGCCACCTTCCCAGCCCCCAAAGCCACACTTATGAAAGAACTGCAAGACTGTTTTCCCTAGCAACTGTAATTTTAACTTAAGAGAAAATTTAGGATTTCCTGATTTAAACATGTGATTTGTATATTCTGTTGATTGCTTATTTGTTTGACATAGAGTCTCACGGTGTAGCATAAGCTGACCTCCTCCTACCTCCTCTCCCACCTGTTGAGATTACAGGTGTACATCACTATGCCCTGCCAAATGTGGTTTTGTTAAAGCATGGTTAGCCAAACTGCATCATTTACGTAAACGGATCAGCTTTGCAGATGAGCTATTCTAGCTTTCAGGAGAGAACTTGATACCCTGATTCAAAGGCATTAAACTAAAATGTAAATCTTAAAATCCTGTTAGCAGAACCCTTGGCAAAAACACACTTCTTACCATTCAAGATGTGAAATACAATAGAGAACTGGTGGGCCACTTCAGCTAGGCTGCATTAATCCTCCAAAATCATCTGTTGAATGTAGGCAGAAATCAGTCCAACTATAGCAAGGAAAAAGCTAAATTGGGATATCATGGAAAAAGTTAACTTTAAAGGAGGTCCTCATGCTGAACACTGGCAGCCCATGCCTGTCATCCTAGCTACTTGGGAGGCTGTGATACGAAGATTGCAGTTCAAAGCCAGCCTGGGTGGGGAAAACCTATGGGACTCTTATCCCCAGTTAACCAGCAAAAAGCCAGAAGTGGAGCTATAGCTCAAGTGATAAGAGAGCTAGCCTTGAGCACAAAAGTTCAGGGACAACACTCAGGCCCAACCGGGGTTCACACCCCAGAACCAGCAGCCAAAAAAAAAGACTGAGGGAGTAAGGACAGGGAGCTGGAGAGGACAGGCTTGAGACAGACAGGCAAGTGCTGAGGGAGCTCTCCCCTGCCGAGGGCGGCAGCCTGCCTCACCCAGGCCCTCCACTCTGCCTCACTGGCCACGTCCTCATCCACCCGGGAGACTCTCACACTGACACACCCAGCCCTCTCAGGTCACACTCAGCCCCCAGCCCAAGAACCTCAGATCTCAGCCTCCTGAGTAGCTAGGAGTATAGGCGTGAGCCACCAGCTCTGGGATACCTCCTTGATGGTATTAGGATTTGAGCTCAGGGCCTTGAATGTACCAAGTAGGTGCTCTACTGCTGATACACACCTCCATCACTTATTTGCACCGGTTGTTTTTGAGATAGAGCCTCACTTCCTGCCAATGCATATGCCTGCTCCACGATCCATCTTCTTTTTTGACTTTTCATAATGACCAGGATACCAGGCACAGCCTGCTACAGCCAGCGTCTTCCATTGAGCTGTGGACTTTTCTGCCCAGGCTGGTCTGGAACTCCAGTCTTCCCAACTCAGTTTACCACAAAACCTACATGACGGGAGCCAGGGACCATTCCCTGGTGCGGTTCCTTGCAACATCCTTTTATCCTGCCCTCGTTTGAGGCGTAACTGTACAGTAGACTACCTCAGAAGAGGAGACGGAGCTTCCATGGGAGTGAGAGGCAGACAACAAAGATTTTCCTCAATGGCTTCTTTATGAGGTTGGGTGGGTGTGGGGGTAGGAGAGAGGCCTGGGAGGGTAGCTCAGTGGTAGAGCGCTTGCTTCAAAAATGCTTGAGGCCCTGGGTTCGATTCCTCAGCACCACATAAGCAGAAAAAGCTGGAAGTGGCGCTGTGGCTCAAGTGGTAGAGCACTCGCCTTGAGCTGAAGAGCTGAGGGACAGCGCCCAGGCCCAGAGTTCAAGCCCCATGACCGACAAAAAAACAAAAGAGGTGGGGGGAGGGCAGTTGCCCGGCATACCTGGAATCCCAGCACTCAGGAGGCTGAGGCTGGAGGATTACTCAAGGCCACAAGTTTAGGGCAACATAAGGAGCTCTTGTCTCAAAAAAAAAAACAAAAAACCCAGAAGAGTCGAAGTTTCCTAAACTTGCATTTGTGGTTCTGACATGGACCCGCTGTATACACACACAACACACACACACACACACACACATCGCTGTGTACACACAGCCATACTTGGGCCTTGAGGACAGAGGAAAAGTGAGATGGAGCTCATTCTCCTTAGTGGCCCCGGGAATGGAAGGAGCTCTGACCGTTGTCATTGATGATTAGGGACAGCTGTACTGAGAGGCCGGGTGTGACCCAGCAAGCACAAGATCTGAATTCACAAACCTCTCCTAGACCGAGAAACACCCAGGAACTCTCCACAACCCGGCATGGATTATTGCATGACCCCAGCACAGAATTTTCCTGAAGAGAAAGAGTACATAGTCAAGTCCGTGGTTCACGCCTGTCATTCTAGCCACTCAGGAGGCTGAGATCTGAGGATTGAGGCTCAAAGCCAACCCAGGCAAGAAAAGTCCATGAGATTCTTATCTCCCATTGACTACCATAAAGCTAGAAGTGTAACTGTGGGTCAAGTGGTAGAGCACTAGCCCTGTAGAGCACTAGCCCTGAGAAAAAAAAAAAGAAAAAAAAATGTCAGGGATAGTGCCTAGGCCCTGAGTTCAAGTCCCAGTACTGGCATACACACAATTTAAAGAAAGACAACAAGTCTAGAAAGATCCACTTCCAGTGGACAAAGCAACTCACTGAAGAAAAAAAAAGACTCAAATGACCATTTTCTGGTCTCTCCTCAGGCTAGGCAAATATTGACTCTAGATAGTGGGCTCTCCTTCGTGGGAGCGTGTGCTAACAGTTTGGAAGGGATATATTTGCACTCTGAAATCAATTGAATTAGTAAATAGAAGAATAACAGGAGGAAGATCTTCTCATTGGCAGAGAAGGGAGCTGCGAGTGTGACAGGAGTGAATCAGCCGCTCAGTTTAAACTGTAGTTTTCAAAATGGATAGATAAAGCCAGTGGCAGCCTGGACAAAAAAGTCCATGAGATTCTTACCTGCAGTTTAAGCTGCAAGTGGCTCAGTGGACTGCCAACCTTGATCAGAATGCTCAGGGACAGCACCCAGTTCCAAGTTCAAGCCCCAGACTGGCTGGATCCTTCCTGTAATCCAACTTCTCCAAAGGTGTAAACAGGAGTATCTTACAGTTTGGGTCTAAGACTTTATCTCAAACACAAAATGCCAAACCAAAGTACCATCCACAAAAAAAACACAGATGATAGATAAAGGAAGCTCCAGGGAAAGGAAGAGAAATACAGGAAGGTATAGAACTACTTGTTACAGGGCACAAAATGTCTTCTTGTACATGTTGGAGGAGCTGGAGCACAGATTGACAGAATGACATTTGTGATTCTCAGCTAGTAATCCTAGCTCTTCAGGAACCTGAAATTGGAGGCCCTGAATTCCAGTCCCAGTGTGTGTGCACGCCTGTACACACACACACACACACACACACACACACAGAAGAGGAAATT